TTAAAGTTGAATCTTCTTCTGATAATTAAAGAGTGAAGTTGCTTACCCAACCCCAAAGACGTATCCTCACCAAAGACCCCAAGAATGGCTGACACCATGTTTGGATCAATCTGGATTCCTTCCTTGAACGTTTTCACAAAAAGCTACATAGCTTCATCCTCAAATCCATTTTTTTGCAAATCTCAGAAGGATTACAGCATCAAGATCCTGAGCAGAATCAAATATCTGCCACGCACCTTTAACATTTCCACATTTTGAATACATATCCTTGAGTGCACTCTCAATGCACAAGTCAGACTGGATCCCCAATTTCCACAGAAGGCCATGAATTTGGCGTCCCTCCTGTAGTTCCTGGAGACCAAAACATGCCACCAGCAAGGCCAAATAAGTCAAATTATTAGGAGTCACTGATCCCAAATGCATCTTGGCAAACAATTTCGAACTGTCCTCGTATAAACGATTTAGAGCTAGTCCTGAGATTTCAAAGTATTAGCAGCCGTTGTCCAAATAACATTTCTTGCAAACATTCATCAAGGACCAGCCTCCCTGAACCCAAACACTCACATTTAAAGTATGATGTTATCAAAGCATTTCCCATACTTATTTCCCTTTCATATCCATTCATAACCACTAAACAATGTATCATTCTATTGACGTAATAAAATTCTTCTCTATCACAAGCTGATAAAATTGTCGTGAGAGTTGCTTGATCCAACCAATAAAGCTCGGAGCTTTGCATTCTGTTGAAGCAGCCAAAAACACCCCTCAAGATTCCCATTCCTCAAAAAATCAGATATCAGTATATTCCATGAAATGGAAATTCTCATAGGCATTTCATCAAACAACTCAAGTGCATCAGTTTGATCCCCACATTTTACACAAACAGAGAGAAGAGAGTTTCATATGAGGAGGTCATCATTGAAATCATCGGGATTCTGAGGGTGAAGGAATTAATGGTTTTTAAGAATAGAGGCATGGAGAGAGGAACCCAGACGGGTAAAGCCTTCTCTTCCACAAATTGATAAAAGGATGCTCACCCCTGCACGGTTGAGGATGAATCTCGAGTTTTCTGAAGATGTGTATTGGTAGATATGTTGGGTTTTGAAGAGCAAGGAAAGCCATGAGGGAATTTGGGG